CCTGGTGCCACCCCTGGGTACTCTTACAGATAGAGCGTCCACTCACCTTAGCCGCCCAATAAGTTATGTTATTATTAGCCTAATTATACTTATATTATTCATTCTTCATTAGCTTTATCTCAAACGAGATGTGGCAAATGGAACAAGCAATCTAGTACCTGTTCCTGTGAAACATTTCCGAATATTTCCTGCCAATGTGAGTAGGGTTGCATACACTTAAAAGTAATGTTGTTTATCTATTAATTTCTAGGGAAATTTGAAAACAGAGATGAGCGAACCATAAATAGACATTAACGTAGGTCTACACCAAAGTAATTATTAAATTTTATTATATTTTTTCATCATTGTTTTTAATAATAATATAATTATCAATACTGTATTGTTTTTTTCCCCTGGTTTAATCATTGTATTCAAACCAAGTCAAATTCAGGAGTGAAATGACAAACTATTGAAGCTTAAAAATCTATTTGATGAGATAAATAGATTTTCGAATTCAAATATGAATAGCTTTTGCTAAAATCATTTTAATTTTTACTGATAGGCTGTATAGTTCAATCACCAATGATGTAGGTCTAGGCCTATTTAATTTTTTATCAATGTGAATTTCTCAGTTTCTACATTAATGTATATTTTAGCCTTATATCTTAATAATTACCTAAGTATATATAAGAATGTTCTATTTACTTAATATGACCTAATTACTTGTATAAATTATTGAAATGTAATTTTTTTAATCGTTGTCTCATAACTTTCTTGTCTGTCTACTTCTTTTCGATTTTGATTATTAAACTTCAAGTTTACAAATTGCAATAAAGATTACTGAATTATGCAAAAAAAAAAAAACAAAAAACGTTATGAAAAATATATAAATATCTATTAACGGGGTTACCTTACAATGAATGATATTACAATAAAACGTGGAAATCACAAAATAAATATTTTTTGAAAAGAATATAGCTGCCGTTGTAGAGAAATAATATTTAATTCCAAAGGCTGTGATGTGAATAAAGCATGCCACCAACTAAAACATTGTTAGTTTACCAGCATTATGCAATTTACATCGCTCTAATTATTATATTATAGCTTTATGGTAGTTTATAGTGACGATGTAACTTTGTTTTTTCATGTTATGCAATCGTGAACCTTGACAGTAATGGTAAAAGTGGTTACATCACTTACATCTGATACATGTCTTCATTTTCTTTTTAAACCACTTCAAATATGTAGTTCTACAGTACATTACAGAAGCGTAATGGATCGAATATTTTTACAAATTTCTATTTAGAGAAATTCAAAAACTTTTTTGTAGATTCTCGATCATATTATGGTAACTTTGTTTTTTTATGTTATGCAATCGAGAACCTTGACAGTAATGGTAAAAGTGGTTACATCTCTGACACATGTCTTCATTTTCTTTTTAAACCACTTTAAATAAGTAGTTCTACAGTACATTACAGAAGCGTAATGGAATATTTTTACAAATTTCTATTTACAGAAATTCAAAAACTTTCTTGTAGATTCTCTACTTCTTCGGTAGCATACTACTATGCGTTAATATTGTTAGCTATTAGTGCAACGATCTTAACAATTTTTAAGTGTTGTTTGTTTTTTGGTTATTAGGTTGTGAATGTCCTTCCGGTGGTTGTAAGAGTGATGGCGTAGACTGTTATATTAATACCAGATGTGCAGGTAACGACTGTTCAAATTAACGTGGACCTATAAATATTATAGCTTCATGATAGTTTGAATGTATATCAGTCTTTTATTATGTTTATGTCTTTGTGTATATAGTCGCGAACCCTGTCGGTAAATGATGATCAAGAATGGTTTAGGTCAATAGAATAGAATAGAATCCTTATACACAAACGCTAATCTTTTTATTTTCAGCAGCAGCACAGGCGTTGAACAACTAATACACATTTCTTACAGTGCATCCCTTCAAGTAAATCTTATAGAATTGTAATTGAATATTTTAACGGGCAGAAGTAGTTTTCGGAGATTTTTCAGATTGCAATTCGACTGGGCATACTTTGAACATGACCTCTTGTGTCATCGACCCAAGACGAGTCTTCCACCACCTGTGCAAGTGTTCCAAGAAACCTATATCCTCGATGTGTAGGCTACGATTAGGCAAGTGGACAGCACAGCAATCGAATTCAATCACACCCGATGACGTACGTTACAAACTGAAAGAAATTGAAGAGCAATAAAATGTATTACTTTTATAATAATTTGATAATTACGATTATTATTAATATTATTGTTATTGTTATTGCTGCTGTAAAATTGAATTATATTATATATTTTTCTTTTTATTAACATGTCCAAAACATTTATCAATACAAATTTCTAAATATACCATAATAAAGCAGCTACAGTATTTAAATTTAAAATCAGCTCCACTCCCCAAGCCTCATCAAACTTGGTTATAAAGCATCGCCCATCCTTCAATTGGTAAGTTATAGCTGTTGAATGCGGATGAAATGCGATGATAAAATAAGGTAAAATAAATTTCTTTAGTCACTTTTCGCACTTGCCGTCCCAATGTCAAATTCACTAGCGATTTTACCACCTGCCCGCGGCCCACTGCAGAGCGAATTCAATTCATTATAACTATTGCAGTATTTCGTTTCCATTTTGAATACTACTCCCTCTCAAACCCAATTTCAATTAATTTATTGTTTATTTATTCTTTTATTTTAAATAAAGGTATTGCAAAATGTATAGGATTTGCACAAGAGTGAACTGAACCTTGCAAATAGCGTACTATACTCATCACTATTTAACGCGGTTCACATAATATAAACATGGTGCTATTATTTTTACCTCCATTTTTTACCTTCATTGAGAGCAAGTGAACGGTTTAATCCCCATGGATCTCCGATACCAGGCAGCGACTCATTTCCAATGGAAGGTAAGAACCTATTTAAATCATTTAAGTGAGAATTGAATATTTGTTAAGAATGTGTGAGGATTTGGACGTCTTTATAATGCTGTGATGTTAAATTATTTTTTGTATAATTATTGTGCATAACGTGTATAAAACTTACCAAAACATTTGTCAACACAAAATTACTAAATATATCAAATTAAAGCATATACAATAGTTAGATTTTGTGGTTGTACACAGCAGTTTAATTACTCGAATTTTATACGTGCCGTCCCAATGGCATATTTACTACGGTAGCGAGTTTACCACCCATCCTCGGCCCACTATGTAGAATGAATTCTATCAATCTACTGTATTCCGTTTCCATTCGGATCTGAGACAACTATATTGTTGTCTCAGATTCGAATATGAAACCTACGCCCGATGCCTTTTAATCTCAATTTCATTGAGTTTGTGCTTATAATTGTTTATTTTATTTTTTATTTTAACTATAGGTATTGCAAAAAAATGAAATTTTATTTCCTTCAAATCCAACAGCGAGTACACTCGCCACTTACAGGATGAGAATGATGCTTTATAAACAAAGTTTATACTCTTATGGAAGCTAAGGAGTGGAGTTAGTTTTGGTCGTGAGAAGAAGTCCTGCTGTGACAAGAATTGAACCCACGACCCTGGGATCAGAATGCAAGCATCTTAACCACTGAGCTATTCAACTCCACTTCGAATGAACTTTGCAAATAGCGTACTCTATC